TCTTTGCCGGGGCCAAGCCTTCGGCCCGAAACAGTTCGCCCGGCCCGCTCTGGGACGCCCGCCGGGCCCACCCCCGGCTGAAAGCCGCGTCTCGTCCCGGGCCTTGGGTCTTCTCCACTGTTTCTTGTTAATTCCTTTGTCCATAAGAACAGACGAGGGCGGGGGGCGTGTTTTCGCATCGAGCCCGGGGGCTCCGCGCCGGCCGGGATCCCCTCCCGGGCTGACACTCCCAGCCTGTGTCCTGGGCAGGTCTTGCAGACCCGGTCCAGCCGACCCCTACAGCCAGGCCTCCGCGCCCACCTGCGCCGGGCGCTGGGGGATACCCGGGCACCTGGCTCCGCATGGCCTATGCCAGACCGGAGTGCGGACCCAATTATTCTTGGTGGGCCTCAAGATTGCCGAACTCATTGTTCCGTTCTCAAACCGGGAAACTGAGGCCGGGCGCATGCGCCGGGACTGGGACCTGACCCAGAGCCCCGCAGTCCCTGAACGTTCCCTGGTATCTCCCCCTCCCCAGGGACGAGGCGCCAGGCTCACCGTCGCTCAGCAGCAGCTCGGCGGGCTCGCTGTCCGCAGACCAGGGCCAAGCCGTGCGCTCGTTTCCCAAGCGGTAGCGGCAGGTGTAGAGGCCGCCGTCCTTGGAGGCCACCGCTTTCAGTTGGAAGAAGATGCGGTCGGGGCTGGTGCTGGCCCTGGGTACCAGCAGCACCTCCTCGCCGCGCCGCAGCTGGAATTCCACGCCGCTCAGGGGCGCCACGCACACCAGGGTGATATCCGCGCCGGCGAGGAAGACTTGGGCCGACTCTCCGTCAACACTCAGCGTGGGCGGTGGCGGCGTGGCTATGAGGCAGGCAGGGTGGCTGAGGCAGCTGACACCCCTTTCCCTGAGATGGCCCAGCCTCCAGATCGCCGCCCTCCGGGAACGCTCTTCGGCAGGCCGCCAAAGGGCACAGCAGGTTGGCGCTCAGGCCCACAGACAACTGTTTCCCAGACCCAGGCCTGGCAGCGGTATGCAGGGCTAGGGATCAAGGTAAAGGCAGCTCTGTCCTCCAGAAACCTCCCCCAGGAAGCCCTCCGCATGGTCCACACACTCACCCAGCTCCTCCATGGCCACAGGGGCACTGGGCTCAGAGGGCGGACCCGCTGCGTGAGTCCGGTAGCTGCAGCTGTAGTTGCCAGCCCGTTGGACAGGGAAGGTGGCCTGCACGTCCTCGGGGGCCTCAGCCACCTCCAGAAACTGGTCATCGCCTTCCCGCCTTAGCAGGAAGGTCACACCACGAAATCCCCCGCGGCACACGAGGATGGTGGTCAGGCCCGGGGTGATCCAGGACACAGGCTCGCTAGAGAGCAGGGGTGGGGGCAGGGACTCTGCGGGTGAGGCAGGGTCGATGGTGGGTCCGCATGACTTGGGAGATGTGGCGGCCCAGCGGGACCTGGACCACCACACTCGTGAAAACGGGAGAGACGGACATGGACATAAAACAGAAGACGACGCGGTAAGGGCCCCACCGTGTGCCAGGCCTGCCCGAAGCACTTCGTGGGCGTTCAGTCACTTATTCCTCACACCCTTTTGTGGTCAGTGCAGACATCACCCTCGTTTTACTGGTGGAGGCTCAGCGATGTCAGGTGACGTGCGCAAGGTCACCTTGGGGCAGGGACGGGGGGATGTGGGAAGAGGACAGGAGAGTGGAGGAGGGGAGGCCCACAGAAGCCCCTGCTCACCTGCCCCGTTCACCTCCAGCAGGTTGCTTAGCTCCGTCCACCTCTCGTCCATGCCAGAGCGGCAGCGGTAGAGGCCCCGGGTGTCACCCGTCACCGCTCCTAGCGGGAACCGGTGCTCCGTGGTGACTAAATCAAGGTGCACGTGTTCCTGGCACACCCCATTCTTGAACAGTTGGAAATCCAGGGTCTCTAGGCGGGCCTGGCACATCAGCGTCACGTTGGCCCAGGGTTCGAGCAGCGATTCGGCCTCTGCCCATAGGTTGGGCCGGGTCTCTATTGCTGCGTGGGGACAGGGGTTAGAGCTGGGCACCAGGACAGGGGCACCTACCACCCCAGGTCCCCCATGTGCCCACCATCCCAGGCCCGGCCAGACTCACCTATGGCTGCTTCTGGTGCTGGGCTTAGGGAGAGACCTGTGGAGATGAGACTGTGAGGCCCCCATTCCTGCCCCTTCCCGCCATCCTGCCCCAGGGGACTCAGGCCCGGGAAGCCTCACCCCAGAGCAGCAGGAAGGCCACCAGCACAGACATGGTCAGCCTCGCTCCAGCCCGATGACTGTCTGTGAGGGAGGCAGGGGTGGCTCAGGACAGTGACCTCTTACTGCTGTTTGTCCTTCCTGGAAGGCGGGAGGCCTGCACAGGGTGGGGACAAAGGGCAAATGCCTGCGGCCTCAGAAACCTCAGCAATAAGGATAATCAATAAGTATGCATAATTAATTAACTAAACGATAAAGAATAGACATGATGATTTTTTAATTAACCTATTAAAAACGGCAAAAAATAATGAAATCAACAAATAACAAAATGAATTAAATGAAAAAATACAATTTAAAAAATAAAATAAATAAAACAAATAATATAATAAATACTAACAAACTTAAATATGAAAAATAATATACATAATAGAATGGAAAAATAAAATTACTAGTAAGTAATGAAATCGCTAAATTGAAAGAATTAAATAAAATGAATTATACTACAAATAATACCACTAAGTAACAAAATAAATAATATAATAAATGACAACAAATGAATAAATAAAATTCCGAATGTTAAAAACAAATAATATAATGGCTATGTTAAGTAACGAATGTTAAATAATAAGTGAATATATAAATTAATGGATTGCTTATTATCATAATTAATAATGATAAAATAATAAATAATGAGTAAAATAAAAATAAATCGTAACAATTCCGAGGCACCCACTCTGGTGGTGGTCGCAGCGTTCTGCAGTTGCGGCCTCGGGCGGTAGGTGGCGTTACCACCACGCGTGTTAGAGGGAAAGGAAATGGAGCCAGAGGGGAGCCTTCCTCTCATCGCCTCCAACGGCTGAACATCGCTGGGATCCTTTTGTTCAAGGGGACACTGAGCCCTGCCGGCTGAGGGGTGGCTGAGGTCACATGGGCAGGGCCTGTGCCCTCCTGGAGGCCCAGCTGGCCCCTCTTCATTATACCGCACGCTGCGTGTGACCGCCAGGTGGGACTCGCCGGCGTCTGCCTGGCTCCGCCCCATGGCTGGTTAACTGCACTGCGTGACTGACCCGTGGCGGTTGTGGCTGAATCTGTACGCAGGATGCTCATTCAGACCTGTGCTTCTGGCCCCTCCCTGGACCAGCACTCGGGTCGTGGACAGCTCTCTGAGCGGCCTGTGGACACCAGGCCTCCCCACACCCCTGGCCTCCCCGCCCTCAAGGCACAGCCCGATGGGACAGAACAGCAGGGGCAAGAACACGGTCTCCTCACACTGGACGTCCGAGGATGTCCTTTCATCTCACCCCTGGGGGTCTGGTCTCCACCCCGGGTGTCCAGGCTCCAGCTTTCCTGCCAGGTTGAGGGCCCACGGAAACCTCCCAGCATTCACCTCCCACCTGACCTGCCTTCTTTGTCCATAAACTTTTATTGAGTAGAGAAGACGGTGGGACAGTGTTGGCCCAGGACCTGCCCATACGGAGCCCAGGCTGGTCGGGGATATGGAGAAGGCACAGGGTCGGCACTGGGAGGAACATAAGTCCCCGGGGCATATGGACAGAGGGGGCATGCAGCACTGGAGGGTCAGGGAAGGCTTCTGGGGGTGCAGAATGCTGAACGGGGCCAGGAGGTTGAGCCCTGTGGGTACCTGGGCAGCAGCATCTGGGCAGAGGGAGCAGCCAGTGCAAAGGCTGAGGCAGGACAAGCGGTCAGATGGCCAGGACGGTAGGGCTGGGGAAGGTATGGGGGTGGGGGAGAGCACGGAGCTGGTAAGAAGACCAGTCACGCTGGGCCCAGTAGGCATCGCAGGGCTTTTGGGGCTGGGGCGACTCCCAGTGATGTCTGCTTCCCTTTCCATGTTTGCCAAGCACCTGCTGCATGCTCGCCACCCCTGCTCCGAGCCAGTGCCTAGAAGAAGGCTGCATGTTGCAGGCGGGGCTTGGGAGGTCTCGGGCATTCCTTGCAGAAGGGACCACTGAGTGCCAAGGCCTGAGGCATCCAGATGAGGACCGGTGGCCAGGCCGGAGGAGCAGAGCAGAGACCAAATGCCTGCTAAACCTCCATCCGTGGGCAGCGGGGCGCCCCGGTGGGCAGGGGAACGGTCAGCTCAGAGGTCTGCAGAGCTGAGGCCAGCAGCCCGAGCAGGAAGCCTGTTTCCTTCCCAATGTCAGCCTCGCCTCCCCCCTGTTGGCCCCAGGTTTCTGGTGTTATTACCTGTTCCCTTGGGTGCCCCCAGCCCTGTGGGTGGCAGCAGCTCCCCAAAAAGCATTGATCTCTGTGTTTCAGCAACATCTCACATTTTCTCTCTAAGCTCCCAGGTTTCTGGTGTTATTACCTGTTCCCTTGGGTCCCCCCAGCCCTGTGGGTGGCAGCAGCTCCCCGAAAAAGCATTGATCTCTGCGTTTCAGCAACATCTCACATTTTCTCTCTAAGCCTTGCAAATCCTGTGTAACCAAGGCTCTGCCTTTGTCCTGTTTGAAGTATCTAGTGAAATTTCTGTTTCCTGGGTCGACCCGAATGACATGGTACTTGGTGTCAAGAGGGGTCCCACAAAACAGACCCTCAGAGTTGGGGCTCTGCATTTCACTTGCTTCTGGAGCACAAGTCCTAGCCAACAGAATACAGGCACTGGTAACCCACAGTGGGCAAGGACACCGTTGAATTAAACTATCACCTGTGGTTACTTTAAGTGCTTCCTGAAACCGGTGCCTTCGGAAAGCAAGTGGCCACTGCACTGGGCAACTGAGCGCAGCAATGGTGATCTTATGGCCACTGCACAGGTGATAGAAAGAAAATGACATGTTCAAGGCTCTAAATCCTTAGCTGAAGAGAAATCAGAGAGCTTCTAGACCTATGAGAAAATACAGCTGAAACATAAATACAAAATTTGATTGTGCATATTTCAGAATTACAACCTACATTGAATCCACAGATCCATGAAGTGTCGTAGGTGAGAATTAGGGTATTGTCTGGAAAGGAGGGAAACTCTGAGGCTTGGAATGGGGTTGACACTTGGATTCAGATGAACCTGGACATTTTGTGACACTTGTGCCAGGAGCTGAGATGACTTGTCTGGTACGGCAATTGGAGTCAGCACCTGGTAAGATTACGATAACCCACTGCCACTCTCCAGGAGCCACCCGCTTTCTGCACAGGCCAAACAGGTGCGTTGAGTGGGGATGCGGGGGAATTGCCACCCTGCATCTTTTAAGTCATCGATGATGGCACTGATCTCTGCAGTCCCTCTAGGGACATGCTGTGGATTCTGCTTTGCCATTCGGGCAGAGGGGGGCCGTTCCAGAGCCTCTGCTTGGACTTTCCTACCTAAAGGGTCCTCACTCTATGGGCAGGGGACCCCACCTGGGGATTCTGCCAGTTGCTGCAGATGTCCCTTCCAGTTACCTACCCGGGCACTAGGGTCATGACCAGATGGGTAATGAGCACAGGTAATGTGCCCACCGGGAGACCAGCCGAGCTTGCTTTATTGTCTGACCACCATGAGAGTCTGCTTTGTCCAGTGGGCCACCGAGTGTTTGGGGATTACCCTCAACTCAGAGCCAGTCTCTCTCTGTCCCTGATCCCAGGAATATGGTGCGGGCCTTTTGAGGAAGATGCGTCTATCCTTGTGGCTGGTCCTTAAGAAGGATGGATCTCCCTTCGCCCAGGGCACTGCATGTGGGGACGACCTCAGATTGGAATCTGGGTGACACAGCCTCTTATCGTGACATCTGGATAATGTGTCACATAGGTCAAACAGCTTTTGGGTCAACTGCCCATCACTCATTCCTAAGGACATCCTGGTCAGTCGGCCACCACTTGAACCTCTCTCTGCAGGGATGCACCCCGCTCAGGACCACGAACCACCTCTTAACCGCACGTGTCCTCAGCCGGGCCCGGGTCCCCACTGGGCCTGCTGTCCTAGGGAGTGTCTCCAGCCGCAATCCGACGCACCCATCGTCGCCGACCCTGTGCTACAATCACGCGGAGCCCACGCGAGGGGCCTGCGACGGTCGCCCCGCTCACGACGTGCGGCTCGGGCATCCCGGGGTCAGGGCGCGGCGCGGTGCCGCCTCTGGTGTTTGTTGAGGTTGGAGCGGTGGCTGAAGGCGCGGCCGCACTGGGCGCACGC